AGAGTCCATCACACCTGAGAGGGTCAGAAAAATCTTCACTAATTATTTTTACTTAGTCTTAAAAGAACAGCAGGTATTCACGATAGCATGACTATATTCCTCCATTTCACGAAGTTAACTATAAATAATCATGACTAGAGGAATAATTCTCAAAAAAAGGGAACACTGGACTGGAAGTATCACTTAAATAACTTCTAGCATAGTAATCCAGTTCTTATTCATTATCACCAAAGAAAGAGAAAAAACACACTGCTACATTAATCTCCAAGCAATCCATACCAACACTAGAGTCACAAAGATAAACCTATTTAGGTTTTCATAGCTAATTTTGGTAGATATTAAAGAGAAATAGCAAGCTGTCAAAAACAGGGTATTGTTTATTAAAATAAGGCAGTGTATTTGATCTTATTACAGTATTAAAGCAAGGTATTATGTGAGGAGTCCGCTTAGAGACGCCAAATCACTTGTTCAGTAAATGATTATATTGGAATGTGGCATTTCTGCACACCAAAATGGAAAAAAATCTTAATTTGGTATTTATCAATAATGCACTGCCAAAAAACGAATAAATGCGAAGGCTTTTATTCTCTGGGGAACTAATACCACCAACAACATTTAATGTCCCATTTATAGCTTTATGTGAAATCATCATTTAACAAATAAGCTTCTGGTAAAATATGAAGAAAAAATATCTTCAAATATCAAGAGGATGAGGACCTTTACTAGGAACCATTCAGTACAACTGTGCCTTTAATTACATAGCTCAGATCAAGATCACACAAGAACCACACAAACAACAATATCATGATTAAAAATGTGGAAAAAAATTTAAAAAGTGAGAAAGTGGCTGTCCTTCATTTTATACATTTTGAGAAAAGAACTAGAAAGGTTAATGATATGCCCCAGGTCACCAAGCAACTTTGAGACATAGCATGCTTTCTAGATTTCAGATATCACACTTTTAATAAATCCTACTCTATTTTCAAAAGTAGTATACCCCTAAGATAATTCTGAAGATTTATTTCCTCAAGTTTCAGCATGGTTGTTCATTTTCTACACATTTCTGCTAAATCCTTACAGCCACAAGAGATTAGTACAAGCAATTGTGACTATAAAAGCAACAGGAAATCTAGCTGGATAATGAGGTAAAACTATATTTCCAGGATTATGTAACTTCTATGAGTCAAAAGGCAATATAGTCTATTGATCATTGCTACAACTATTTTTTCAGATCTCAGTTTAAAATATCTAAGTTATAAGAACATTTGATATTCTGTTAGCTAAAGCAGAAGCAATTCTATTGTACAGTTCAAGTATTTCCTTGATAAAGAAAGTTTTCATTTAAAAAAAGACCATATTTCCACCAAACAATTAAATATTGGGTCTCCAAGAAATGTTCCTAAGCATTTCATCTTCATATGCCTCTTCCATTCTGGATACTGTATATAATATATTTTAGGCAGATCTTAGATGTGTACTTTAACAAAAAGCTGTATTAGTTTTGGTTATTGCTTTTGTTCTTTGTTTTATGTGGTACTAGAGATTTAACCCAAGACCTTCACACATGCTACACAAAGAGTCTACCACTGAGCTATATCCCCAGTCCTTTTTTGTTTTTATTTTGAGATGAGGTCTCTCTAAGTTGCCAAGGCTAGTGTAGAACTTGGTTCTCCTGCCTCAGTATCCTAAGTACCTGGAATTATAGGGATGCACCACCTTACCTGGCTGAATCAGGTTCTTGAGAGGGCCATTCCAACTTTATTTTACCATATTCATACTTAAAGACAATTTATTTTTAGAACTACTTTCAATGTACAAAGAAATAGATAATCAGTAATCATCATTTCTAAAATTGAAAACCCTCATTATCATTAAGGCTTCACTTTTCTGGGAAATAAAGATATTTCCATTAGCTTTCATTGTCTTCTCCCAAATTTAAAAAAAAACACCATGACCTCTATATTACTCCTTTATAACAACATGTTAACTGTATGATACAAGAAATAAAAACATTGAGTCCACTCTTTCTCACACTTTCAGTTTCTACATGCTAATTCCTTAAAATAGCTTATCAAGAGATAAGACCACACACTTGCTGGCATATTTAGTTTGCAAATACCACTTTCTTTTATCATTAAAATACCTTTTGTATATCTTACAGGTCTGGCTCAAAGAAATGCTCTAGTCTGAATCTCACTCAAGTATCTCAGAAGGCAACATCCTAAAGCAACACAATAATTATATTTAAATGAGATTAAAGAGAAAAATTTACTTTAAAATTAAGTCACAGAAGTCATTTAAAGCACAGACACTGTAGAGAAACCTGACTATTCCATCACGTATTTCTTCTTACATATCATAAAATTTTGGGTCTTCACCACTTTGTCAATTCTTTTCAAATAATAGGTCTGTTTCCAAGGGGAAACTGAAAAGTCAAGAAAGCTTTCATGTCTCATCACTTTAATTTGAAAAGAAGCTGGGTGCAGAAAAATTGGTTCAAGTTAATTCCTTGGGATCTGTCAGTGAGCCTGAACCTCTCACTAATGCCAGTTCTCAGTCCTGGCTACAAACTGGCCACACAGCTCTCTGGTATCATCACTCTTTCTAGAAGCCACCTATCTGCACACTCAGAGGAGGGTGGTGAAATGAAAGCAGCTGAACTATTAGAGAATAATGAAGCACAGCCTCTATCCAAAGGTCATGGCTCAACAGCAAAGCCATGTCATCTGCAGATCCTCTTTTGTTCCTAGTACAATCCTTAGGAGGGTGATACAGAAATTAGACCTTCTCTTGACAAGAAAATCCCTCTTCTTTTCTGGATGCCAGAAAACAAACGCATACGAAAAACATGAAAGAGGGAAATTAGAGAAGCCAGGGACTTGTCTCAAGCAGTTCACATTTCAATTCACCCCCAAGGGAAAAACCGAACTCTTGTGGCCTTCACAGTTTATTTCCCCAGCTGATACAGTATTAAAACCAAATACAGCTGGGCAAGATAGTGCATGCCTGTAATCCCAGCAACTAGGAAGGCTGAGTCAAGTGCACCAAGTCTGAGGCCAACCTGGGCAACTTAGTGAGACCCTATCTCAAAAACAAACAAAACCATGGGCTGGGATGTAGCTCAATGGTACAGGTAGGTCTTGCCTAGCATGCACAGGCCCTGTGCTCAATCCCAAGTAACACATACATACATATTCCCTCCCTTCCTCCCCCTGCCCTTACATAGGGGAATGAAAGAAACTGTTTCTAAGAACAAATCCAGAGAACAGGCTCAGCAGTGAGTGTGATATTTTACAGCTCAAATAATTATGAAAAATTAGGCATACAACATCTATTGAGTGTAAAAAATGAACCATACTGAATAATGCAATTTTCACTTGAAATCTTAAGGGAAATTTGTTCTAGAAATACCAAAACTCCGTAAATACCAAAACCTAAAGATACCTAAGTCCCTTATATAAAATGGCATATAACCTACATACATGTCCTGCATAATTAAATCATCTCCAGATTACATATAATACCTAATACAATGTAAAATCCCATATAAATTATTAAACTGCATTTTTAGGGAATAATGGCAAGAAAAATTCTCTACATGTTCAATACAGATGTAACCATCGGCTTTACTACACTTTCATCTCTGGTTGGTTAAAATCTGTGGACATGGATACAGAGAGCTGACTGAATGAATGAACACGCACAAATACACACAAAGGAAATGTGTAACAGGGCTTTCTTTTGGCTCTAGAGTGTATCTTTCATTTTGTATACTTTTATTTGCAGAAATGAATGTTAGTGAAACAAAAAAGGGCTTATTTTTATGCTAAATATGCAATATTTCTAAATATCAAGGGCGTTCATTAGAGTTAATATTTTCTTGTTAATTTTAAATTCTTCCAACTATAGCTCCTAAGATCTCATTTTCCTGGCATAAGAGTTCACATTTCCATTTTAAAAGCATATGCAGAGGTCACCACCTGCTTTAGCAGTCAGGCTTACATACTGGGGCTTTCATTTTGAGGAACTTTTGAAGAAAGAGTGATATTAAATACTGAATATAAGCAGTCTTTTCATCTTACACTATACAGTAATTGCTTCCCACTTCAGAATTATAGCATGAGTTACCATCTCTGACTTGCTTTCTAAGTGCTATGACTAGCATAGAAAACACACACACACACACACACACACACACAACAAAGAACTTTATGGACTTACTCAAGGGAGTCGGATCTTTGGTAACTGCCAAGAAGAAATCATGGCTAGTCAGGCATAGCACAATAAGATACAGCATGAGAAATGACATACATTATTGGGCCCTGGTTCTAGGATATCATTTCTACTAAATGTCTTTAGAATTCAGACACTGCACACTTCTCAGTGTGAAACACCTCAGATAAAAAAAATCATGGCAGCTTATAGATGGTGCTTATAATTATACATATATATTTCAGGGAAACTGTTTATAAATATTTGAATATTATTTGCAGAATACAGTGAAAATGAGAAATATAGAGCACTTTCAAGTATATTCTGGGAGCTAAATTGTAGCAACCAATGCTCTCAGAGTTACTTACTATCGAGTTGAGTTCAAATAGATCATCTATCTAGTCTAATGATGATAAAGATGAAAATCCTATCAGACCTGGACCATGGAGACAACTGTATTCTGTATATATGGAGGCAAAAAAATACAATGGGAAAAGTGGTAGGGAGAGTATAGCAAAGCCCAATGAACAAATTATTTTAGATGTGTTTCATGCTGCATCATAGAGGAAACAAATGAATATGAGAAAGTAAATAGGCTACAAGGACTTAATCCAACTAGAATGTCCTGGGGTATAAATAAATAAATAAATAATGCATATTGAAAGACAAGAATTTAAACTCTTGTTTCAACATTACAAAAATTGTTTTTATCAAATATAAATCCCTTTCAATTATATCTTAAGAAAGCTGGCAAAAAAAATACAATATCCACATATATAAATTCGTACCTTTGCTTGTCTCTTGTTGGCTTCTCTTCTGGCTTCCCTTTCTTTCAGTCTCTTCTCCTAAAAGAAAGATGGGGAAAATTAGCAACATATGAACTTTTATCTATTAGACATAAAACAAATTATTACTGTTTTATTTTTTAAAGCCAACTGATATGTGTAATTTGTTTTTCAGTAAACACTTACTAAAAACACTTACTATGGAACTGGCATAAGTATTAAAAATCACTAAGTATGTGTCAGACAGACCTGGAATTAAATGCTAGGTCCACCACTTACTGGAACTTATTGTGTAGTTTTGAGCTTTATACTTTCTAACTCAAAATAGAATGGAAAGAATTAGAGCACACGGTTTTATAAAGTTGATGTAACAATTCCGAAAATACCTAAGTGATTAGCATAGCATCTGAGATACTACTGATACATAATGACAGAATAAGAATAAAAGGAAGAAAAATATGCAATCATGCCTATTTCCCTTGTCTTCTATTTGAAATGGAATTTAAAGAAGATATAAAATTCACACCCTGAGGGTTCTTAGGAAAGAAACATTCTTATAAAACATGTTATTTTCATACTTTGCTTTCCCCATTAGTTTTCCACCAATCACAAAATAGGAAATGCACACCAGGATTTTTTTTTAAAGAAAAAGAAACATATATGATATTAAAATTCAAAACAACAGGGGCTAGAAATATAGCTCAGTTGGTAAAGAGCTTGCCTTACATGCATAAGGCCCTGGGTTCAATCCCCAGCACCAAAAAAAAAAAGACATTACTTAGCTAAATAGTAAACAGAAAGAAAGCCATTTTGAAAACAATCAAAAATCTATCTTCCTCTCCAAACAAAAGTATTAACAAAGAGGCTATTCCTGAGAGCTTCTTTGGGGGTTCTAGCAGGGAAGCACAGTTACTAGTATACCCTTGTCCTAAAAATCATCCTTTCTCTAACTAGAAAGATGGTCTTCTTCAACTGAGTACACTTCTGGAGGGGTTTACCTAGAACAGTTAAGAAATGGACACCTACCTAGCCAGCCAGATCAGCCCAATCACAGCCAGATTACCTTCATGTCCAAAGAAGCTATTCTTAATCCTAAATTCCTCATATTTTATGTTTTTTAAATGTTAATGAACAACTAGGTCAATGCAAAAAGTAAATAGTTTTCATGTAATAAGAAGAAAATGCAATCATGATTCACTATTGCATTAAACTAAGTCATCAACATGAGAGTGAACAGGGGGTTCTACACTGGGCATTCTTTCATTTCCATTATGCTTTGCACATAAATAACTTCCTTCAGATTCAAAAAACAATCCTAATCCATCACTCTAGAGGTAGAATTGCTAATATGTATGTTTTCTAAGTTTACAGACTTCTTTATGATAAAGTGAGAAGACAAATGTTAAAAGTCTCCAAGAAGATCAAATACTAATGTCAAAAAGAAGGAGTCCATCAGGCTTCTAGATTCAGTTTCTATAGCTTCAGATTACATAGTAAAAAAGCTAAATTCTAAGTGAAGTTGAAAATTCAAATTCAAATGGCTGTTGGTTGAGTTATGTTCCTAAGTATGCCTAATGCTAAATTGTTCTTCTGTGCCTATTCTTTTTCTTCTTTCTCAACTTTGGAAATTATGGTTAGTACTCTGATTTCCAAATAAAGTATACAATTAGCAAGGACATCTGCAATTACACAACTAGACCATTACATTCTAAAGATTACTTGGAAGTTGCAGAAATCAAAGTCAAAGGAAGGAACAAGAGAGCTAAACAAAAACTCAAAAGAGAATTTGACTTGCTTATTGTAAAGTCTTTATTTAGTTACTAGGAGATTAATCCAAAAGCTGGGTCTTCACATGTCATATCTAGTACTTTTTCCAATACATTCTAATAAAAATAAAAATGTTCACTTGGGGTTAAATAGTAACAGATGTGACTTTAACAACCCAAGAAAATAATACTAGTATTTGAACAAGCAGCCAATTAATGCAGTAGTTATTATCAAACTCTATCCCTGAATAGGTTCTCTAATGAGATTATGACAAATGTCCTGCCTCTAAAATAATCTCCAACTTTCTTCAATTTGTGGGGAAAAAATAGGTTAATGGATGACTGTTTCTAAATAATTTGCACCAAAATTTTTCATAAACCTGACACCAATTACTGATTTTCTTTTAACATTAGCAGACTACAAAATACATAAATAGCAAAAAGTATTAGAAAAAATATTAAAATAACTAATATTAATTTTGCTTAGTTGCTGGCTCTAGTTTGTGGTTACATGTATTTATAATCTTCTCTCTCTTCTGTGTTACCTTCCATCAAAAGGACAATTGAATCCTATTATTAAAAAAAAAAAGTTTTTCTGCTTTAGATACTAAAATTAAACGTAACAGTAATTTTATGCTAGTCTACAATAAGAATGACTTTCAAAAGTTTTGTTGCTTAACTTACTTTTAAATCTACAGCTATATAAAACACTAATTACAGAGATCAATAAAATTTTACTTTCCACAAATTTGTATTTGTCCATAAGTACATTATTACCATTTTTGTTATTTTCTTACAAACCGTTACAGTTCTTAGTAATTATCAGCATTTCACTATAAACTTGTATTTGAAAACCTATGTGATAGAATTTATGAGATATTATTTTCCCCATTTTATAGAGGAAAAAAGTGAAAGGCCAAAGTAATGAGGTCACTTGGCTGATGTCAAGTACACAGTGAGTAACAGGCCTGGGATTATCCTGGGTCCATGGAGCTACTGCAACATACACTCAAGGTTTCTTCATTCGAAATGTTCATTTAAGGTTGTACAGTCATATGTAGTATTTTTCTCCCACCAATATGCTTAGACAAGTGGTGCTGTTTCTTTTATTACTAATAGTCTGCTACTATGAATCTTTTCATATTTTTCTGACATTTTATGGACTTAATTAAGTTTTGACAGTCTCCTGTGCAGAACAGATAACTGACTACACTTAACAGTCACAAAATTTGGGGTTGTAATTATTCAATAACACATGAGAATATCTGAAAAATGACACTTCAATTTGCAAGTAACCTCACCATCAGAAAAACCTTTTCTATATAACTAAACACTTCTCTATTCTGAGCATTTCATCTAGCCATTTTAATCACAGCAGGAAAACACAATATTGGCAATTTTCTTCTTCTACTGAATTTCAATAATAATTCAGTATAGTCACTAAAAGGTATCTTAAATTTCAGATTTCAATATCAGAATTCACATATGCAAAAGTAATCATTTTTGCCTACTGACATTTTCTGACTGTAGTCTCAAATAGATGAGTGACATCCACAGACATTTACAAAATGGCCAAGACATAAAAGGGAAGTGCATTAAAGGCAACCACCTTTCAATACTGGATGAAACAAAAGGAAAATAATTTGAAGTATATCATTAGAAAACTTTTTTTATTTTACAAGGTTATGTTACTACTCTGCCTGAAAAAGAGACAAGAGTAAAGAGTTCTCTTTAAAGTTAAAAGAAAGTAAAATTACAGGAATTCAAGATTTGGGATATATAGATATAAGGAAGAAAATACCTTTTTTCTTTACTGAGGTAAGAAAAAAATTTATAAGGTCATGATACATCAAAGATAAAAGGTCAGAGTACTTGAAGCCAAAATATAACTTAACTTCATTTTATTCAGTAACTTAGGTTTCCCCCTCAATATCATCTGGTTCAAAAGTTTTAAATCCTTTATTTTTCTATTTCATTTCTAAAAGAGTAATGTCAACAAAAACTATTTTCTTATTTCTAGGAGAGTACTAATATAAAAAACTATTTTAGGCCACACAAAAAGACAAAATTTTATCTTTAGTTCTACCATGCTACAAATGATTAAATATAAGGACAGAATGAAATTCAATAATAAAAATCAAATTAACAAGGGAAAGGAAAACAGAAAATCACATTTCAAGGTACAAAATACTCCCTTTATAGCTATTATAAAGCTTTTGGCCTCACACATACTATAGGTCCTTATCAGTCCAGAAAAGAACGAACCATGAAATATGACTTTCATCAGCAGTCAGGACAATGTATTTAAACCTTTTTCACTCTCTGACAGTACTTAAATCTATTTGTAGATCTGGAAATAAAACTCATTTTTCAGGAAGTAATGAAAACATGACCCATATGGATGAGTTTGGAGGAACTGTGACAGTTTGGAAAGGAGTAGAGTAGCAACTATCATACAGGGATCAAGGGGATATCTAGCTTTATTTAAGTATTAGAAGCACCTCTTTTTCAGGTAAGAAAATTGACTCAACAAAAGTGCATAAAAGAATGTTTATAAGAATCTTAAAGCCTGAAGGAATCCCCTGCTCTCCAAGGACAAAATCCTAGAAAACCTAAATCCTTCCCAGGAACTCAGAACACAGTAAGATTCTTTTGATCTGTTACCTATTCTTTTAAGTTTCATTTGAACAATATAAAAAAGGAGTCTTTTATATTTAAATATGAAATAATTACAATAAGAATATGAAGACAGAAAAAAAAATGATATGGAAACAACAATTCACTAGTTAATCTCTTTGACTACTTGATGAGATACTCTATGCCATGTGGCTGTGGGTATAAAGCAATAGACAACAAATGGTTCAATCTCCTGTGACGTCTATCACCCCATCTCCTATCAAATTGGACACCATAAGCACTAAACTCTGCTCTGTGCTTATCAATCCAAGTCTCCAACTAGTCTCAATCAATATAATCATCAATCCATATCTTAAACATTATATGGTGTTTTTAAAAATTCATAAAAAATTAAAATATAAGTTATAAAAATCTCAAAGACTTATTATAAAGTTGATAGATTCAATGGGGGCAGGGAAGAGACATTGGTCAAAGGATATAATGTTTTAATTAAACATCCGAAATGAGTTCTAGGGATCTATTGCACAACATGGTGACTATGATTGATAATACTGTACTATATGTTCAGAGTAGAGATGATTTTAAATCTTCATACCACAAATACATAACAATCATTTGAGATGACAATTAGACTGATTTGATTACTGTACAATGTATACTTGTAACAAATCACAATATAAATATATATCATTTGTATTAGAACACATATAATACACATTAGTAAATATCTTAAAATAAGTTAAAAACTTTTTAATGAAAAAAATCTTTATATCCCAGGGGCTGGGGATGTGGCTCAAGCAGTAGTGAGCTCGCCTGGCATGCTTGCAGCCCGGGTTCGATCCTCAGCACCACATACAAACAAAGATGTTGTGTCCGCCGAAAACTAAAAAATAAATATTAAAAAAATTATCTCTCTCTGTTTCTCTCTCACTCTCTATTAAAAAAAATCTTTATATCCCAGTTTAAGACTTTAAGACAAGTATAAATATTAGAGTCATGGTAGAAATTATGTAGCTTCCAAAACTTGGTAGGTGAAAACAGAAGTCAAAGACAAGTGTGATAAGAGAGGACAAAATAAGAGAAACAAAATGAATACCTGAGTCCTATATTACATAGGCTGAGAACACATCTAAAACTATAATTTAAGATTGTTAACTTTATAAGCTAGAGGGAACAACTACTGTCAGGATCATTAAGAATAAATTCACTTATATATAAAATACCTTTTTAAATAAAAAATTTCATCATGAAATATTTTGAACAAGCTGGGTAAAAAATTCTAAAAGCTTATAAAACCTAAAATCAATATACATTTTAAAAATATATGTGAAATAGAGAAACATGCCATCAGTTTTATGGAGTTTCGTTTTTTTCCATGCAAAATTCATCAGACACATCATTATTCATAATTTTGCATCAAAAGTTTCTTAACCTTTATCTATCTTCATGAAGTAAAGCTTATTCCCAGATTCTAATGTTAGTATTTTCAAAATTCACTGGGGACAGAGAACTCTTCTTAGTACACTTTCATAGAAGTAACAAAATTATGAGTGATAGCCTCCAAAAGTGACAAAATTACATTTGCTCAAAGCAAAACCTCATGCTAGAAGAATATTGTCATCATGGTAATATTAGTAATACAATATTATTTCAACATCAACGATGTGTTCAGCAATTAATTGAAACAAAATAATCTGTTCAGCATTACTAATAGTTTTTTAAGTAAAATTTTGTAACTACTGGAAAATAAGTGAACAAGAAAAAAATGTCATCAAAGCAATATGATTTGTCATGGAGGAAAAATTATAAATGAAAATTCCATTTTCCCCAAAAAGTAAAGGCAATTTTATTCCCATGTCTTGACTGGATCTACAGAGCCAGAAGACCTAACTCTTATTCCCTTGTCATTTTTAGAAATGTACAGTCCAAATTGGTGACTGATTACTCAAATTGAACTACATAATGCCATACTCAGTAGTCAAGTGCAAGTATTCTCCCTGACAGCCCAGAACTGTTTCCACTAACCACCACTACTGCTTCACTATGCCATACAATATACCTTCCCATTTAAAATAATATTCCATGTATCTTCAGGACAGAATCCATTCCATGAAAGTTTGGTGCATAAGTAATTTGAATACCGACACTGTATTTTATACATGTTATTATTATATAAACATATTAATTCCAAAGTGTTCACAAATGTAAATTTTTCTCTTCTTCAATACACACAAATATTATGTATACATAAATGTTACTGTTAAAAATACTACCAAGAAACCAATCATGTGAGTTGAGTATTATTACATTAAAGTTTAATACAGACAACTAATCTAGCTATTGCAATTGTGCCCTATCACAATACTACTTAATTCCCTAAAAGAGGACATTTCACTAATCAGTTAATGGAGTAAGGCAGCTATGCCATGAGCTGTCATATGTAGGATATACCCCTTTTATCTGAAATAGAAAGCTTTCACTGATTTTTTTAAAAGACTTGCTCTTTTAGGTACAGAGATACTGTAGTATCTACTATGTCCTACTACGGTACTATGTAAAGGTCTGGTGATATTTCTTTGAAGTTTATCAGCTCAAAACAACTTTGTGCGACCTTATTGTGAGACAGTCCATGAGACTGTTTGAAGCTATGCTATATTTTAATACTGGTTCAAAGAAAATTAAAATTAAAAACTCAAAAATCAGTGAAGCAGAAAAGCATAAACATTATATTCAGAAGGCTCGATCTCAGGTAAGAAAAGGAGAAAGTAAGAGTATGGTATTTCCATTAACTCCTCTTTGCATAAAAGGCCTCATTAAAAGGAAATAAAAGTAGAGAGCTGTCAGGGTGGGGTATGAAAGACAAGTATAGGCACAAGCAAAAATTTTCAATATGCTTTTTTACATCTTGAATTTTGAATCATGTATATTATTCATCACAAAAAAATACCATAAAATAAAGATACAGATTTTGAACAGTGCCAGTATAGCCAGAGTTAACAATCACTTATTTATACTCTTCCTAAGAGGCCTCATATATTTTAACAGATGACATTCACAGTCTAGACTGTGTAACCACATGGACAATTAGCCCATTTGACACAAAGTTTCTAAAAGTTTCAGAAACAATATTACAAAATTGGAAATAGTATAACTTCTACAAATGGAAAAGAAAGGGGAAGGAGGGATAATCTTACTTAATTTATATTCTTCATATTTCTCTGACTATAACTTAGAAATAATAAAGGGTCAAACCTTCTTACACTTTATTTGCTCCAAGATAAGTACTCTAAGTAGAATGTAAGCCAAAACATAGCAAATTGCTGACAGTCTTTAGTATTTCCAACGATTTTAACAACTTGTTAACACCAAATTTCAATTCAATTTAAAAGAAATTTTAATACAATTTCAAAGGAAGTAATGCAAAAAAAATGTCTCTCAATAACATAAACATCCAAAAACTACAACCAGTATATTTTTGATTGATTTGTTCTCCACATTTCTGAATGTTTTTCACAACATTCATTTCCCTCCCTAAAGCTATGTTTAATATCTACTTTTTCCTTTTTCACCAAATGCTATTGTGAAATTCTATCAAATGGTTAAGAAGCTATAATTACTGCTCTCTTTAAAAAAAAAAATTTTAAAGTGTTCTGGCCCATTAAAAAGTGATAAATTAGTTCAAAGAAGGGTGAAAAACTACAAGAATCTCTCTTGAGATGCTGCTAATAAGGTCCATATCCAAAGGCTTCAGAGGTTCTTAACACAGAATCTAGTATTATGGCAGTGATTCTCAGGTATGATACTGTGCTACTCTGGAATCATTGTCTCAAAGATATGCTACATAAAGTTTTTTAAAAGTGTAAATCTGCTTTACTTCATTAACTAATCTAGTGAAATGTCCACTGTTAGGGAATTAAATAGTATGCTTGATAGGGCAATAATATGTATAACAGAAAACTGCCAAGTTTAAGACTATCAGGAACATGCCTATTTAGAAGCATTCCCTCTTAAAAGGTTTCCACTTTTTTTAAGGCAGTGAATTTAATTTTATATTTATTATCAAATAATTGATATGAAAAGAAATTTAGCTGAATTTAATTGAATCTGGAAGTAATACCAATGTCCCTCATGGTAAAACAAACCTTGGTGAATCCAAACAATGAAATACTACTCAGTATTATAAGGAATAAAGTGGTGTTGATTCACACAACTTGGATAATTCTTCAGGAAAAAAAAATGCCAAACAATAAAAGCCAACCCCTAAAGGCTACATATTGGGGCTAAGAATATTGCTCTGTAGAGCAAATGCTAGCAACATAAGGCCCTGCATTTGATCCCTAGCACTTGGGGGGTTGGAGGGGAGTACAAAAGGTATATATACTGTGTAGTTTCATATACAATATACTGAGCAGTTTCATATACAAAACATTCTGTGGTGACAAAAACTACAGAAATGGAGAACATGGGATCTCTCTGTATTACTTCCTACAAGTACACATCAAACAAGAATTACATCAAAATAAACATTTTACTAAAGTCATGTGTCACTAGGTGGTTTCACCATTGTGCATACATTGTAAGTAAACTCACAGAAACTGAGAAGGCTCCAACATCACTACCCCACATAATCTTATGGGACCACTATAATTAATATATGTGGTCCATTATTGATTGAAACATTATAGGAATAGGGATGTAGCTCAGTGTACAGCGCTTGACTCATATGTGCAAGGCCCTGGGTTCAATCCTCAGCATTGCTTTTAAAAAAAAGGAAAAAGAAAAAGAAACAATGTTATGTGGGGTGTGACTATAATTTTAAAACCCACTAATATTATATGAGTCACCTCAGACCAAAAGCAGATCTATATGACACTGTCAAGAGAGATGTCAGTATTATAAAGACTCTCCCAGTAGAAGAACCAAAGGAACAGATAAAATGATGATAGCCACAGGAAAAAGCATCAGAAAACAATGAAAAAAGTCATATCAATTTACCTGAGTATTTATATTTCTTTAGGGACATAATAAATTTCACTTAGTACTAATTCAAAATGGAATGCTTACCCGATGCTTTGCCTTAATTTTCTTCCTATATTCTTCTTTGTCAAATTTGTCCTCTTCCTGAAGCCTTTCCTTTGCTTTATCTAAGTTGATACCACCAGTGTCATCATCCTCCTCCTTATCATTCATGGTGGATTTCTGCATCTGTGGCCACTGCTGAACCAACTACAGACGAGAGAGATAAGTATGGAATGAGAAACAGGAAACATTCACAGAAACCCTTTTCTTTTGTGTAACAACTTTAAAAGTTGTTATATGTATACTCACTTTCTGCCTTATAACTATATTTCTTAAGTTTTCTCACAAACTTCATAATTCAAGTAAGCAAGCCCTCCTCCAATGCCCCACAAAAAGTCCCAGTAGGGGTAAAGTAATGCTGTCATAACCTATTAAGAACACAATAAAACGAAAATTTTACAAAATTATTTGGAGAAGGTAGGCTCAAAATAGAAATGCTTTGTAATGGTGTTCCTAATACCCTAGCCTAATCTCCATACAATTCAGGTAAAAATTACCCACGTAGAGTAGGACTTGAGCTGACCAACATGTACCTCCTTTAGGCTACCAAGGCACCTGTACCTCTATATCTTATCATACTGTACTGGTTTACTTTCCTGTTTCTCTTACTAGAATTAACTCCTTGAGGACAGTTGTACCCCAGTACGGTATGAAATACATAGCAAACACTTGCTCAAAACTGATGAACAAATCACCTTTCAGCCAATATTACACATAAGCAATGAAATACATGTAAAGGAGAAACTTAGCTTGGATTTCCTGAACTGTTCACATTCAAATGATTCTGTATGCATAATTTATGGACAGAATCAAGGTGACAGGCAGGCAAGTCACTAATCTAAGAGTTGGGGGACCTAGTTGAATGTGTTGGCTTTTTCACTAGCCTACTGAATAATGATGAATAAATTAATTAGTCACAAGTAGCTTGTGTCCTTTCCAGAAAAATAAAGCCATTACTCGGTGATTTGTAGGTCCAACATAAAAATATAAAACTCGACAATTTAGACAAAAATGTTCATTTATTTAATAATTGGTTGCCAGAAGGATGTGAGTAGGTGTCACTGTTTTGGAAAGACTAATTAGCATACAGTCTCATGGAAATTGGAGACACACACCTCACAGACCCTCATGCATCCTTGCCTCCTCTCACTCTTGTAGTCACCACAGGCATTCTTTGGGGTGCAATACCTACAGTCTCAACTTCTGGCAACCAATGGAGGTGATGAACATTACTAAACGACAGGCAATACTAGCAGTTACTGAGCCTAAATCTGCCAAAGAGAGGGGTCACTCCTGACAAAAACACCATCCATTACTCAGACTCCTCATTGTGATTTGTATTGAAGAGGATAAAAAGTGTGCCCTTCTATGGGCTACACTATAAGCAGCACTTTTAGAGTTTTAGATCAGAAGTTTCAGTGTGGTGGATAACCTCCTATTAGCAATAGACATAAACTGAAACATTTTACAGTTACAGATTTATACTCATCTTGAAGCTAACTGGTGTAATCTGTGCAGATAAACTGAGCAGCATACTAAGGAATCTCATTACTATACAACATTCACTTTATTTTACAGTGAACACCTGATGTAATAGGTCTACATCCTAGTTTAGCCTGCTTCTCAGATGTTTATCACTTTTTAATAATTTTGGCACATTAATTATTTATCATATATAGCATTTTTCGTTTCCAGCAACTTTGAGTCACTATGTATACTGTGTTATTCTTCATTTAATTCATATATCCCAAAATAACATCCAAATCTTTAGTACTTCCAAAACAAAAAGGAAAAACTGGATATAGACTACTTAAGCAGCATTTACATTAGTGAAGATAAAATATATGCGATACTTTAGTCAATATGAAAAGCTGTTATTTTATTGGAAAAATAAATGATTCATTCAAGAAATCTGGGGGTTTTCAGTTAGCACTGTTATAGGTACTGGGGACTGATAGTGAACAAAGTCAACAAAATAACTAACTTTCTTCACATCCATTTTTCCTTCACAGAAAAGTGGAGAAGAAATTGACAACAGTCAAATAATAGATTGAGGTTACAAACCAAGCACTGTGAAGAAAAGTTATAAAAGATGAAATAAGATTATGATGTGTATAAGTTGCTGTGTGGTCAGAAAAATTTGCATGTAGTGAGGATGAGGTCATCTGAAATATTCAGAAGAATCTGATATACTGTTCACTTCTTAAGTTAAACCACTCAATATTCTGGATCTATTTAATCATTTAAAAACAAAATAACTATTATGCAAAATAAGGACCTTCCTGTGAAAAGCTTTGAGTTATAATCCCTTCCCTATGATTTTTTAATATAACTGTTTATTTAAAACCAGGCCACAATAAGGGTGAGATAAAGGCACATGTGTGTCTGAGATTACTTAAAGGCAGAGAATTTCCTCCTGTAGCCAACCCAGCAAGAATGTGCAAGAACAGCATCTAAAGCAAAAGACTCTCTGGCAAGACAAGTAGTTGTTAATATTCTTATGCTTGTTCCATAGAAGAATTTGATAAAAACCATGATGAGAAAATCTTATTGCTGCCAGCACTTATAAAATTAGAATTTATAAAGTTCACTATCATTTTTGTGTCAGCATCACCAAGAAGTATCTCAAGTTTAATGCCAGGAATTCATCCTTGTCCAGAGCTGTAGAGCTGATCACATGCCTGCAGGGGTAGCTAAAGGAACTGACCATTGCTATACAGAAACACTGGCCTTTTCAAGAAGTAGTCATTAGGAGAGTCAAACTTCTTAATATTTGCAATGTATCCCAGAAATGAAGCTTTCAGACTCTTACCTCCCCTTCATCAGTAAATGTTATTTTCTTATTCACTTTAAAATTTCTCTTCATTACTTTTTTTGCTTCTGCCACTTTGGTTACTTTTTTCTTGACACTGGATTTAGAAGGTTCTTTCTTCTGCAAAATAACAAAACAACAACAACAAAAGACAATTAGGGTAAAGGTTGCTTTATATTAATTTAACTCAAGCAATATACTTTCCAATATTGAGTGCATTTATTGCTCTTGTTGGTAATGAGAAGCATCAAAAACACTGAACAGAAATAAAAAGTTATTAGACTTATTAACTAATGACTCCCCCAAAGCTAAAAGGATTTAAATGTGAATTCAATAGGTATTAGATATAAATAAACTTTACATTTTCTTCTATTGCTAGAATTGGACTATCTGAAAATGTTGAAGTACCAGAAACCACATGACAATGTAATAAATGAACATAAAATATAGCTGTCTCTCCCAGCTAAAATACAAAATATATTTTTAAATTCCCAAGCACAAACTTCAATTTCTAGACTATGAAAATGTATATTTGGAAAACAAAATGATTAATGCATCGTTTGCAACTCAACATTCTTCCACCAATTACAATGACTTACTCTACGTGCCCAGAAAAACATCTGTGATGATTAGGCTGTGCCAGAGGTGAAATAAAATAACTCCATAATAGGATAGACTGATCAGGACCAAGTTAATGTCCTAAAACCTCTATGGAATGGTATTAAAAATTCAAAGGCACGCTGACTAATGCTAAGTGAAAAATGCTGAGAATGCCACCAGACATGTGGGGTGTAAGAGATCACAGCATTGTCTGCTTGTAATGAGAGGGTGACAAGAAGCAACATGTGTCTCGAGAGGATTTTTATCATTCTCCTTGAAGATTTCTCGTTAGTGGTGTTTGAGATGAAGTCACTGGTACACTGGTTAAGAAAATATATTTGTGCTCAAGCTGTACCACTTACTAGGTATGCTGGGAGAAGTAGATAGTAGACATAAAACATAAAAAGAAGTGTTCAATAAATCTAAAATATTATCATTACATATTGATTTTATGTTGCATGAAGAGAATGTGCCAACTGGATAGGACCTTACTTTGCAAAATACCAGACCCCAAGCTTCCTAGTTTTAAATTCTGTACCATAGGGAACCACCCAAGGAAAAGTAAAATGGTTCTGATCTAGAAAACCAAAAATCATCAGAAGCTCTGAAAAGACATAGATGGGTTATAACCATTATACTGTGGTAATAAATATGCATAAAATTCATTTAATAAGTTGATATGGTTAATGAGGCATAGATCAAATGCTTAAAAATAAAACACTATAAAATTATAAACAACTAAAACAGAAGTTTATGACAACTTAGTAATGTATTCTAGTTTTAGATAATGAGGTTTGTTACGAAATAAGCCAGTGCATCTGCAATAACAGTATAAGTACAATAAACTTATTTTGACACCCTGGTTCTCTTATGTATTACTAACAACACTGTCTTTGTATTCTTGATTCTTAATGAAGGAAAGCTATAGCATTTAATCACATTTATTTATTTCTTGGACAATAATCAACTTATATTTAATAAGCTATTAACATCTTCAATCTTATAAGATTTAATAGCCCATTCCTACAGACTGGAGACAAATGTCGAAGCATAGTGATACCAAAAATTGTCAGAACAGAATAAACATCAGTCAAAGAAATAATGCCACAGAAGCAAACTTTAGAGCAAGGTAATGGGTCTATTTGCAGACCTTCAAAGAAGTCCACGAAACTGCGTGATAACATTTGGAGATATGTGTATCTTCGCCTTTTTATGGTGTATCTTGATTTCTAAAAGGGATTTGTGTACCAACCCCCACCCCGGAAAAAAAAAGTTATTTTTAAAATTTAGGTAAGCTACTGAAAAAAAAGCAACAGACCTGCCAATGTACAACAGAATAGAGTTAACATACTTTCCTGATAGGCTGTGGTTTTTCTCTGAAACTGCAGAATTATTCACTTATTCAAATAAACACTGTCAACTACACAGAATGCATCTGTTAGCCTTCTGTCACTGACAAAAATATGAGATAACCAACTTATAAAGGGAAAAGGTTTATTTTGGCGCACATATTTATAAAAACATTTCAGACCATGATGGGTTGACTCTATTGTTTTGAGCAAGGTAGCATATCATGATGGGAGCACATGGTGGAGTGAAACTACTTGGCCCCACCCCGCAAACAAACAAAACTGCTTGCCACTTTTGCAAGGAAACAAACAAGAAGAACAGAATGAGGCTAAAGTCCTACTGTCTCCTCAAAGAGTATGCCTCCAATGACCTTAACACCTCCCATTAAATCCCACCTCTTAAAGGTCCGATGACCTCCCAATAGCACTTTACTGGACAAAGCCTTTATCACACAGAAATTTTACCACAGCTAAGATCCAAATTATAGCACCACCGCAGTACAAACCCAGGACCCAGCAGTACAAACCCAGGACCCAGCAGTACAAGGTAGGTGGGCTCTAAACATTCTGGATCCTAAATGTATCCATGGAAAAGGATATTAAGCAAAAATAAATTTTCTTAAAAAAATAACTATTTAATCACAAATGTAATCATTTGCATTCAAGTATGACAGAACCTTATTTTTCTGTGAATCATTTATATTCTTTGTTCATAGTTCTAATGAATCCCTGGTATTTTATTTATCAATTTGTAGTATCCATTCCTAAAATATGATTCAATATTTTCCTCTGTGCCATCAGCTATATTTAGACTCTTGTCATAAAGTCATTTTAAAAATTCTTTTTTTTCCCTTGCCAAAGATTTTTTTTAATATACAATCAATTTTATTACTTTAAAATGTTCTCTTTTTAAAATGTTCTCTTGGGTTGTGCCATGTTTTAAACTTTTCCAACTAAAAGATTTTTAAAAATGAATTTGCCTTTTTAAAATGCATAAGAGTATATTTACTGTTAGGCAGAAGTTACACTGTAACTACAAAACTGTATTATGAGTACAAGAATAAAATTTGAGGCAAAAAAAGAAGCATAATAAAACATTTTGCAGACAAGACATAAAAAACATCAAAATGTCATGTTTGATCCAATTTGTATTTCTTCTACAACATGTGTCCTAGTCCTTATAAACTAAAATGCTAAAAAGAAAATGTAAAATATGAAATTGATAAAGCATCAAGTTATCTTCAAGGTACAGTGTTAGCCATAGGAAGCTGTTGTTCTAATAGCTCAGAAAATAAAAGAACAGCCACCAGTCTCAAAACAATGATGACTGTAAAAACATTGGCTTTAAGATTCAAAACACAATCAATGAAAAATAAACACCTTAGTAATGCTAAGCATTATTAATAGATATTCTAGCAAAGAAAATAAAGATACTGTTTTTAAAAATGGTATTTTAGTGAAAAGCAAAAAAATTCAGGGAAATCAATATTAGAATTAAACTGAAAGACAAACCAATCAAATTAAACTTTATGTCTCAAGTGACTCCTCCTACCTGTGTGACTAACAGTTTACAATGAAAACTACTGTAAAGTGAGGGGAGCAAGAAATAATCAACAAAACTTAGGAACTCAATCCTGGTAAAGTTTTTAGAGATTACATGTTATAAACTAAACCACACATGTCAACATGAGTCCATTTCTTAACATATTGATAAATACTGCCTCCCCAAAGACCACATGTGCTTAACTATAGACATTTCCATTGGCTAAATAATCAAACACTACTAAAAGTCGTTAATGATTTTTTAATAAGTGCCTGTCATATAAGCATAATTCCTCATTATCTAGTGAACTAAAGTAATGCAAATATTCTCTAATTTTACAATATCTATTATATATGCAATACTTGACATTCTAAAGCCATGTATGAGATCTCTTAAGAAACTTAATGCTACCTTTAAGTAGCTAAAGCATTATGTTTGTAAAATCTTTGCAAAAACTCAGCTTAAAATTAAGCCACCTGATGGATTTAGTGTTTCAGTTTTGTAAGATGAAAAAAAATTCTGGAGATTGGTTGCACAACAATATGAATATACTCCACACTACTGGACTGGTTTTAAATGGTCAATTTTATATCCTGTATCCTCTACACAACTAAAAATATTTTTAAAAAAGTTAAGTCCCACGAAGAATCAGGCCATCAGGTTAAAATGTTATTATAGGAACAAAGTTTGTCTTTTCAGAATTCCTATACACATAAACTTGTTGAAACAAACACATGCTACAGTAACAGTTCCAGAATTATAGAACATTAGAGGAGAGGGAATGGGTAGCATGGTGTGGCAGTATGTGGGAAGCCCACAATGACCACAAGAAGGGTTAAAGACTGCTAAGTAAGAAAAACTAAAATTATATAAAAGAATATGTATAAATTACAGATTATAAAAATGATCTTAGAGTGGTCTAAAAAATGTCAGGATTTTTCTTTTTAAAAATGTCTACATCTGGGGCTGGGGTTGTGGCTCAGTGGCAGAGTGCGTGCCTCACACATGTGACACACTGGGTTCGATCCTTAGCATCACATAAAAGTAAGTAAATATAATAAAGATATTTTTAAAAAATGTCTACATCTACCCATGTAAAGTTTATAGAGCGCACAATAAAATAAACCTTGGTCATATGCATAAATTTGAAACCATAAGAATTCAGGAGAAAGACAAAAGTCCTATCTGGTCCACCCAGCTCCCAGTTACCATTATTTCTGGAATGGACTGCTTATTACAATAGCCTTTTAGGCTGACTCTCTGGTGCTTTTTTTGTTGTTGTTGTTTGCTTATACATAACAGTAGAATGTATTTTGGAAGAATATACATACACAGAGTATAACTCATTCTATTTAAGTTCCCACTCTTGTGGTCCATATGATGTGGAGTTACCCTGGTTGTGTATACAAATACAAGATTAGGAAAGTTTTAACCAATTAATTCTGCCTCTCCTATTCCCCTCCCCTTCCTTCCCTTCAGTTCATTTGGTGGGGGGGGGGGGGGTAGTGCCAGGGATTAAACTCAGGGGCACTTGACCACCAAACCGCATCTCCAGCCTTTTTTTTTTTTTTTTAAGAGACATAGTCTGAGTTACTTATCACCTTGTTTTTGCTAAGGTTGGCTTTTAA